CAACAAATATTCACCAAAATTAGAGAATTGAAGATATCAACATGAAATGAACAAATCTAAGAGAGGTCTACCCAAGGTACATATACACCAAGTATCAAAGCATTCAGGCTTGTAGTTTTCAAGAAGAAGTCGAAAAAGTAAAACATTGACACGGACGACGGAGACGGACAATCACTCATATGATAAGCTCCGCTCGACAAAGTCGACAGCGGAGCTAAAAAATGATAACTTGGATTTTGGAGTACAACTTATTGCTGTGTGTTTTCTGAATCAAGTCAAATTCTAAACAGATGGAAAGGCCAAAGATAAAGAAATACCGCAATAAGTACCGGTATTTCAAAAAATGACTCATATTCATAAAAGTCAAAGATGAGCAAAATATGAACCTAGTGTTCTTAATGACTGAAGTCCTAGTGGCCAGTGTTGAGAACTAGATTTTATAGCATCATGATATCATGGGAAAAAATGGCAAATATGACGCGATTTGGAATCTCTTTTCGGTAGCATAATACTAGAATGTTGCAATAACTGAGTGTGTGTCAAGTAATCACAAACACATTGGTGCAATTCATTCTGATTGAACTACAGGCAAGTAGTGTGATGCGTGTGATAAGTGTTATTTAGAACGACAGACAACATGCTGCTAGCTGTGTATAATTCTAGTGTATTGATATAAAAGATGGGAAAGGAAGTGACAAGTACAGCAAGGAGTAGTTTTACAATAGTCTGAGAAGGGTGTAAAAAGTCCTTGATCATAAAAAGTATGGCATGCAAGCAAATGCAAACTGTCATGCTTTGAAAAAAGCAAAAAAACATCAGCGGATGCGAACATCAACAATTGCGAGGACAGATCAATATGAACACAGAGACTCACGATGCTCTAGTACGTGTCTCTTGTACATACCTGCAAGCGGCCGTTTTGTTTAAACCAAGACAAAGTTGACTGCATTAGTAATGACCAACGAAATGAACAAGATGGTTAAAAAAAAAAAACGAGTTAAAAAAAAAGGATGTTACTAATGATATAAAATGGTTAATTTACATGAATAATAAACTTCCTATCAAACCTTGTATCTCGTCCATTTCAAATTCTGTTGTAAACACTTAGTGTGACGCCATGTAACAATAGTATACAAACATTCAAAAATATTTTTTTTTTTATAAAAAAATAAACTTTCTGAAATGAAACTGAAATGTATGATTGGGAAGGCATTCTTAGTTTTATTAATGCTGCAACAATGACATGTCAAATCAAGCTTTTTTGGCAAATAATAATAATTGCAGCCAGTGTTTACAAACAAGGCATTATAAATCGCAATATGATACATGACGCAACAATACAACACTAGTTATACTCACTCGTCAGATCGGTGACCATCTGACCTGAAAAGTGAAAACAGAAACATATGTGAGAGATGAACTCCTTATATAGAGTATATAACAATCTAAGTACTATTTACTGTGTTTAAAAGAACCAACCATCTTCACATGTAAAGTAAACAGCATTACATCTACGAGATACATTAAATTTTGTTTTGTTTTGGTGATAAATTCGCTGGGGTTCCGACAACGAATGCTGTAATTCAGCAAAATGCAACAATTTCTAGCAAAAAAAATTAAATGGTTAACAATAAATTAGCCTCTTCGCTAGCCAAGGTCTAAGTTTATTCGTCAAAGCCTCTAAACATACGTTGGCAGAACGACCATCAAATATGAGTATTCTAACAGCGCCCCCAGTAGTCAGTTGTGGCTAATCATTGTCCAATCAGTTTGCGTGTTACAAATCCCTCTTTGGTGTTTCATTTTAAACAAAATGGCCGCGCCCATGAATTGTGATATTTGTGATGATGAAATTGGGAAAGTTTTTGGTGTTGGTGCCCCCAAGCCTCATCAGGTACAGGCAATCAACGCAGTTTTGTGTGGGAAGGATGTCTTCATAACGACAAAAACAGTAAATGGAATTTTGTTTTATAATTTGGTACGTCCAAGCTGATTGGGCGCCTTGTTTCGAGGCACGCCCAATCAGATCTCACTGCAATCATTTGGTTTCACACATTTCTTTACTGTATATTTTAACTGGAATTAATTTTCACTGAAAAGACTTTTTGGGTGTTTTGTATGGAGTTTATTTTCCCTGATTTTTGATGAGTTGAATGTGAAATATAAGAACAAAGGTATATTCACTAGATTCTATTTTCAGTGATCCATTCCTCTCAGCAAAAATAATAAGACAGCGAAAAGAAGTATTTTACAGGATTTTAATTGATTCATCATGAAGTTCAAAGAAACGGTAGGAAATGAAGAATATTCACTGAATATCACTGAAAGCAGAAATCAATTCAAAGAAGAAATAATTAAACAGTATAACTAATTTAGTTCTTTCAGCAGCCAACAAAATAGTGCATAATTAAACTGCTTTATTAGAAGCACACCTCTAATAGAAGCGCAAATAAACCAAAAATTGTATTGCATGTATACTGAATCATTAAAGTACTCTGATAAAAGAAACAGCTCTGTAATTTACCTATTAAGCCCGTGTGATACTAATAGAGCAGTATGTATAATAAAATTTATCTTACCATGCTCGTTTGGGTGACGTTGCCGATGGAATCCTACCATCAAAACTGCTGTACATGCTTTTACTAGAAAATAAAACACAATACATTACGACATGTTTTGCAGCACACTGTGAATTCAGTGGACTTCATTAATAAAGCACTTAAGGGAGCGACAGGGGGTAAAACATTTGTTAAAAATTGAACTGTGATTCAGACATTCAGGCATGCTACTATAACAACCTATATATTATCTGAAAGCTTAGATATAGGTAGGTGAATTTGATAGTGCATATGTTGTACCAATGTTTGTTTATGGAATAACTTGATGGCCAATTATGCTTTTTTTTTTTACTGTTAATTAATTAATGAAAACATTGTTTTTAATACTTTTAGTTAAACAAATGACCTTAAAATTGCACAGAACGTTTGTAACGCAGTAGACTAGATAATCATGTCCCAATATTTTTTTTATTTGTCAAATTATGATCAAATAACTACTGTTACTGTTGGCAACGGATTGTCGACATCCCGTTTTTTAAAGTAGTGTAGAAATCTTACTGGTTTTGTAAAGGTTTTAGATATGATGTTCGGAAGGCTTGTCCATTATTTTCTTCCCGGGGAATGTCATGGACTGATGCTATCGTACGCCGAGCAAACCGTTTGCTCGGTGACCTAGAAAAATCTCTATCCCTATTGGCTAGTCTTCGTTTGCTTTCTTCCACTGTCTGGAATTCAGTTCTACCGCTAAAATGTAATTAGAATAAAGGTCAATACAGTGACGGTGATAGGTAGAGAAGTGCTACACGGCATTAAGCAATACACCACACAGCAAATACACCACACATAATGTAATTCCTTATAGTGCATATAATATACACCCTCATTACCTCACACAGCACAAGATGTAGTATTTCATAATTATACTATATACAATATACACTACCTCATTACAGTGCACATAATATATTACGTAACTATACTGTATACACTACCTTATTGATTAATAAATAAAGTATATTTCATTACTTAACAACATGTAACTTATTCCAGGAAATACATGTAGAAGTTAATACACTACACTGTTCAGAATATTCATTTCCAGTTTATATAATGAAATACAGCACATATATCACAGTATCTTTGGTATTAAAATAACATTCACAATGATGTAAAATAATGCTTGCCGAATTTTCAGACATACACATTGCATACAATACAATATATATTCAAATACACTCTAGACAAGAAAACCATATTTGTTTTACATCACATGTATACACCACAGTATTTGATACACTCCATTATGGTAACTATGAGTAAATGAATAGATGAAGCCTAAATTTTACCAAATTTGACATAAGCTTGCAAGGAACCACTATGCATCTCAATCGTGCATGCAATCACACAAAACCAACCTCTAAGCGGCGCAGCACGTCAAATGTTTCTTGGCATGATTAGCTTTGTTCAGCCGATATAAAGCCCACTCTTTACTGCTAACATGCCAACAGTCAACCTACCTATACCTAAATTTAGATCCTAACTGAAAGAGCATTCTTCGTTTGTTTGTTGGTTTGGGTTCTGTCATCCGAAAGAACGTGTGATGTTCGACGCAAGATTTCCAAAGGTTTTTACACGATCTGTAACTTGCCATGTTGAAACCAATAACATGTTCTCTTGTATCAGTCTGCTGGTAATGGATATGGTGATAGTTAAGCACTGCTGGTATATTGGACAGTTACAAAGTATAGATTGAGTTGTATTACACTGATGTACATATATAGTACTACACTATAAGGACAGAGTGTTGTATTTATAATCAAAGGCTCATAATGTGGTATATAAAGCCAAATAATCACATAAAATCATTCAACTCTAAAATGTACATCACAGATTTTGTACATTGTTTCACATACTGTAAAATGACTAAATTTCACTGGGTTTAAATCTCCTGATTTACCATTTCAGGCATATTCAGTTGGTTTTTAAATTCACATTTTTATCATTTAGATAATGTGTTCTATGCTAAATTTTACATATTCACTGGGTTTCAATTTTGCACATTTTTCAGTCAGCGAAATAAGCAAAATTAGTGAAACCCAGTGAATAATTAACCCCTTTACAGTAATTTGTGACTACAAACCAATAATGTCATGTCTCAGCACTGTGAAAGTCAATTATCATAAATCAACAAATGGGATCAATTCAGCCTTGTGACACTATAAACTCCTGACTATTGCTGTCAGTAATACATTAACCTGCATCGTGTTAACTTGTACATCATAGTTTGCAAGTTTCCCAACATATCATGCATCTTACAACCTTTGTATCGTATAATACTGCGGAATCAGATTTCTGTTTACCACAAACAAGTCTTGAGGGGCAAAAATAAATGTGAAAAATTTGGTACATGCCAGTGGTTAATTTGTTGCTTTGATTTGCATTTTGCATAAACTCTGTGGTAACCAAGCATGCAGATGGAAGTACACTGACCGAACCCTTCCAGTGTCATGCATTGCTTCAATGAACAGCTGTTTTTTTTTTCTGGTTTCAAAACAAACCCACTCATTAATAAAACTGCTCATAATTTTTGAAATTTCACGATACTTGTAGCAGTAATATTAAACATAGTGCATCCGATAACAGCTAAATGTATTAAAACACACCTGAAGCATTTCCTGCATCTGAGAGAAGAAACCACAGACCACCATGCAGTGTTGTCATGGTGACCCAGCACCATTGGATGCAGAGATGAAGAGGCAACAGTGGTGAGAAGTGATGAGAAGTTGCACATGATGTGTAGTGATTTGAAATTTGGATTTTACGTAAATACACATGAAAGATAAAAAAAAAGCAGAGAAAGAACAAGATCAAATTGTGCATTGTTAATGTCCATGCTTCATTTAAAATGCTTTCACTGTCATGCAAGTTAGAATGCGGTTAGTCAGCAAGAATTATCTACAGACTTTATCCATTACATGTTTTTAATTATTGCTGCAGACACACACATATAGAAAGTATTTTATTTTATGATTTTTTTAAATGTTTTTTTTTTTTTTGCAGTTTCACAACAGAAAATATTAACACATAAAAATATTAACACTGTACTGCTATGTAACTAGTTTTAATACTATGTTAATATTACTATGATTCTCTGTGATTTGAATCAGGGCAACCCGCAATAATTCAGAAGAGAAGTGAACCTTCGTAAATTTTCAAAATGGTGGGCACACGAGACTCACTGGCTCATGGGTAAAAGGGTTCACATTATCATGGAGACTTCAATTGCAGTGTCTATCTCTAGTATCCATGACATAAAGTACTTATGGTCAATTACGAACAGTATTAGTCAATACTACACTATAAGCCAGGAAACATAATGGGATAAGTTAAATAATTCACAGCACACAAATACATGTATAACTTTCTTGAGTGATGAATTGAATCATGTTTAATTTAAAACAAGTTTTATTCGTTATTAAAGCTGTATTGTGGCCTAGAGGAATAAGCGACATATAATAAATACAAACATTATAGTATTTGGAAGATATCTGGGTCAGAAGTTTTTTGCCAATGGTCGAAAATTCCCAAGCGTTTTCATAAATGCCCTTGTGACTAAGGCATGTGTACTTTAAAAGATAAGCATATCTAAATATATTAGATGTGAAACATTTCCTATTCAGACTGGTCTTTAATGGACATTAGACATTTTATTTGTTTTCTGTATAACCCTTCTCAATTTATAGGAATGACACACTTGCATCTATCTGGCCACTGCATCTGAATATTGTAAATTACGTATTTCTTGAGTTATGTTTGGCGAGCATTCGAAACAGCAATGGTAATTGATGCCAGGATTTATTGTAGCGAAGACATAAAATTTCATAAAATTATGAAATACATTCTGAACAAACAAAAAACAAGGATTTTTTTTTTTAAATAAATAGACCAGCTGAGGTGTATACGCAAAAAACAAAATGGCACTTACCAATTCCCGCCGAAGTTGAATAAAAAACTGTCTCCTCTTGAATGAAATCTTAACTATCTTTGCCCATGAGAAGGTGTTGATTTTCATATTGTTCTGAAAGACGACGAGACCCGCCGACGTAACACCAAGCTGAATCTCAATGTTGCTTTGGTCCTAAATTGTCGCAATTCAAATGAAACAAGACGTTATTATATTATATACAGTAGCCTGATGAATGTAATATGAAATATATGATGGAATGTAATCAGTATGATGTATTTTTATGGTAGTGTATATGATTTACATTATAGATCATGGTGTTCATAGTATGATGTATTGGTATCAGTGTGTATGGAAGAATACATACATTAATTTACATTATAATTACACAGGGTGTAATCAGTAATGATGTATTGGTACATGTACAAATGTGTATGGGAGAGTATATGATTTACCGATACACTATAATTACAAAGGATGTAATTAGTAGGATGTATCAGTATGAATGTATGTGAAAGAGTATATTATTAATACCAAAACTACACATCCTGTGGC